ATATTTCCCATGCTGTGGGAAATCCCATGTCATCTTCACGGGAATTTGCTGACTGGTCAATTGCATTAAAATGAGGCTCAAGTACTAAATTGCTGTGGTAGAACCAGAAGCCAGTGAGGCTCACTGTGATGATTCTTTCTCATCACAGTAAACTCTGCCCTTTGATGAGTTCCAAAGCTCCAGGAAGCTAGCATTTCTGTTATTGTTGCATCAACCCCAACTGTTGAAGGCTCATGGTTATACTCTCTCACTAGGCTTGCCATAGTTTGACTGGGTGTATAAAATAGTTTCTGGTAACCGGGCAAGTACTTTTGAAATTTACGATCAGAACAATGAGACCTTCACAAGATCAGACCAAAGACTGCAGGAGAGTAATTGTCAAACTGAAATTCTATTAACAAATTCATAAGAAAGAGCACTCAGAGACAAGAGTAAGCCCAGGTAATGAGGATGTTCATGTTGGGCACTCGGGTATCTCTTATAAGCTCTGCCAACTGTCAGACATCTGTTGCTAAATTGAGCAGCCAGTGCAAATGAGACTGGAGCTCTTCCATGTCAAATCCTCCCTGACAGTGGTTGCCAAAGATTAGGGAAGGGGAGGGGACTGGAGAGAGTAGGGTGTGGTTATAAAAGGGCAGCAGGAAGGATCTTAGTGGTGATGGAATCAGTATCTTGGTGGGAGATACACAAAAATACATATATGATAGAATTACACACACACACACTCTAGTAAGTTGGGCAATCTGGTGGACTGTATCATTAGAAGCATGCTGGTTGTGATCTTGTACTACATATAAAAAGTTGTTTTGTTGGAGTTAAAGTAACATGATCACAGTAGTGTCAATGTTCATGATTTTGGTATAAAAGGTTGTGGTACAGAAGTTTCTTGGTTTCATATAGTCCCATTTTTTAGCTTTGTTTCAATCTGCTTAGCCAATAGTTTTGGATCATTTAATCAGACTTGATCCAATGTCATGAAGTGTTCCATGTTTTCCTCAATGTAACTCATGGATTTAGGTCTGATATTGAGGTCTTAAATCCATTTTGATTTGACTTTTGTGCACAGTGTTAGGGATCTGTATTCATTTTTTAGCACTGGACTGACCAGTTTACCCAGCATCAATTGTTGAAGAGGCTTTTCTTATTCCACTTTATATTTTTTGCTCCATTTTCAGGATTACCTGTCCACAGATCTGTGGATCTATCTTTGGACTTTTCAATTCTATTCCACCAGTTTGAGAGTCTATTCTTATTCTGGTACCACACTGCTTTAACTTAAGTATAATTTAAAACTGGAGAAGGCCTTCCATTTTCTTTTTCCTTAGAATTGCTTTGGATATCCTGGGCGTTTTATTATTCCATATGAATTTCAAAAGTATTTGACCAATGTCTTAAAAAAATCTGGGTATTTTTATAGAGGTTGCATTGAATCTGTATAGTGCTTTTAGCAAAATTTTTACTTTGACAATGCCAATTCTTACAATCCATGAACAGGAGGTATTTCCATTTCCTTGTGTGCTATTTTATTTATTTTAGTAGTGTTTTATAGTTTTCTTTGTATAAATATTTATTATCTCATTCTTTCTTTGGATAACCTGGCAGGTTACCAAATGTTACCTGCCCAACATGGTAAACCGGCAAACTCCCCGTGGCGTACCCAATATGACAAATACCAGTAACAATGATGGGTCTCATTCTTCTAATCCTGGAAGAGCCTTGAATATGGCATTTTTTAAAATCTCAGGGCTAGGACGAATAGACGTTACTGGGGTCTGCTCGAGGCAATCGACGAACAACAGGATGATCATGATCGTGAAATATTTCACCTATTTTGTTAAACTTATTCCCAGGTACTTGATTTTCTGAGGCACAATTATGAATGGTGTTGATTTTTAAATTTCTCTATTTTTTCTTTTTGGGCCACACCTGGCAGTTCTCAGGGATTACTCTTGGCTCTGTGCTCAGGGATCACTCCTGGCAGGCTTAGGAGACCCTATGGAGTGCTAGGAATCAAACCTGAGTCAGATATATGCAAGATAATTGCCCTACCTATTATACTATCACTCTAGCCCCTAATTTCTCTTTCTATTGCAGTATTTGTATATAGGAAAGCCATGGCTTTCTGTATGTTGATTTTGTAACCTGTCACTTTTTTGGTCTAGGTAGGTCTATTGTTATTGGGAATTTTCTTGTGGAATCTTTGGGATTTTGTTAGTATCACTTTGTTTACATAAATTGGGAGTTTAATGTACTCCTTTCCAATCTGAATGCCCCTAATATCTTTTTCTTGCTTAATTAATATGGCAAACCCTTTTAATACCATATATAAAAAGTGGTGAGAGTGGGAAACCTTCTCTTATGCCTGATCATAGAGGAAAGGCGTTCAGCTTTTCACCATAGAGTATAATGTTTGCTTTGGGCTTATGATAAATGGCTTTGACTATGTTGAGTAGAGTTCATTTCACCCCCATTTTATTGAGTGTTTTTATTATGAATGAATGGGTGTTGGATTTTGTCGAATGCTTTCTCTGAATATATTGATATGATTATATAATTCTGTATCAAACTAAGAGGCTTCTGTACAACAGAGGAAATGATAGAATAAAAAGACACTCCACAGACTAGGAGAGGATATTTGCCCACCACCCATTAGATAAAAGGTTGATATACAAGATACATAAAGCACTAATAGAACTAAAATACCCAAGTCCATTAAGTCTGGAGTGACTGTACAGTAGGGTGCTTGCCTTGCAAGTGGCTAACTTGGGTTAGATCTCTGGCACCCCATATAATCCACTGAACACTGTCAGGAGTTATCCTTGAGCAAGAAGCCAGTAGGAAGCTCTGAAGACCAGCAGGTGTACCCCAAGCAACAAAAAATATGGGGGAAAGAGATGAACAGAAACCTGCTCAAAGAAGATATATAGATGACCAAAGAAGATATATAGATGACCAAAGGGCATATGAAAAAATGCTGGGAATCATTATCATCAGGTGAATGTAAATCAAAACAACAATGGTTATCACCTCACACCAGTGAGACTGACACACATTACAAAGAACAAAAATAATTAATATTGGCATAGATGTGAGGAAAATGGAAACTCATTCACTGCTGGTGTGGGAAGGTTGATGGTTTAACCTTTTTGGAAAATAGCATGAACACTTCTCAAAAAACTAGGAATGGAGCTTCCATATGACCCAGAAATTCCACTTCTGTGCATCTACCATGAGGATGCAAAACTGAATTTAGATAAGATATCTGCAAGCCTGTGTCCATACTCTTTACAATAGCCCAAATCTGGAAAAGACCTGAGGATTCAAGATCAGATAACTGGATAAAGAAACTGTGATTCATGGTATATGTATGTACACACATATGTATCACATATATACGTATGTATATTATATATACTTCTTGGCTGTAAGAAAAAAACGAAATCATGAAATTTGCTGCCACACGGATAGATCTGGGGAGTATCATGCTAAGTGAAGTTAGAAAGGGACAGATAGAGAATGATCTCTCTTATGTGTGGGATAAGAAGAAATAGAATAGGGGAATAACAAATACTCAAAGGCAACAGACACTCAGAACCTGTCTTTAGTAGGAAGCATACCAGGGACCCTGAGAGAATGGTGGAGGAAGTGCATGCTTGGGTGGAGGGTGTGGTGATAGACTAGTTTATTATAAAATCCTACTAATAATTAAAAACAGTTGTATTTTAGGCATCTAAAATGAAAATAAATAAAAAGTTATATACCTTCACTATCACCAAAGGGTCAAAGATCCTCCACCATCACTGTCCCTGTTTTCTTTTTCTTTTATTGTCTTGTTTTTCATTTTCGGGCTATACTCAGTGATGTTCAGAGCTTATTCCTGTCTCAGTGCTCAGACAGCACTCCTGATAGTGCTTGGGGGACCATATAAGGTGCCAAATCCTGATCAAATCCAGGTAGGCCATGTGCAAGGCCAACACCCTACCAACAGTAATATCACTCTGGCCCTATATTTCTAGTTTTCTGTTTTTAAATTTTCATTTAGATATATGATAGTACCGACAATAATGCATTATACCTGTGGTGATGCTATACCATGCCACCACCAACGTGCCAGGACTCACCCACCATTATCCCAAAGTCCCTTCCTCAGTAATCCCTGAGCATCCTTAGATCAGGTTTATTGACTCCGCTCACAGGAAACCCAGTAGAGTACATGGATTCCTGCGTTATTCCTCACAACTGTAAATGAATCTACAATTCTTTCAAGGTAGTAGATGTGATTTCAAAAAGCAAAATCCCAAATGTGGCCTTCCCAGAGACCGCTAACTTATGAATGTGATAGGAACAGATACAAGAGACAAGGTTTAAAACCAGTTTAGTCCCTGAATCTGGAGTTCTGAAAAGGGCTGTCATCCAAGACCAATTAACAGTGGACTCAATCAGAATTATACTGCCTCCCCCTAAAGCAGTGAGTCCCCACACTTGTTTACCCCTGGAGCCTTTAGGATCCTTGCCATATTTGTATGGTGGTACCGTGACCTTGGGAAAACTTACTTATGCTACTGAAAGTGGCAATTAGCACACTAATGCTCATTTTAGACTCAGTGTCAAGCCAGTGAGCAGGAACTGGGCCGTTCTGCATTTTCACCTACGCACCCCCCCCCCACCCTTTTTCACATGGAATGCAGAGTTCACTGAAAAATATGAGGTTAGATGAGAAGGCTCTCTTCTACAAAAAGTTTATTTTTCATTTCTCTTCCTTGCAAGGAACTTCTTGGGCAGGAAGAGTGAAAAAGCTCAGGTACTCTACTCTAATGTGGTAATGGCCATGGCATGGTTTCTTTACAAAACGGCAATGCTGGGAACCAACGGAGAACCGCTGGTCTTGCATTCAGCAGGTTCTGTGAGTTCTGGTTGGGCTGCTGCTCCAAGGGACCAGCCCAGCCCTGCGGTTCTTTGAAAATTCTGCAAAGAGAAGCAAGAACGCTGTCCTTACTCACCGATATCATTGCTGCGGTCCGAGAGCTCCTTATCCAGGATGCCGGCTAGCGAACTGCCCACCAAGTCAATCTTTGGACCGTCACCCCTACGTTAAAAAACACAATTCCAGGCATTTAAAAATGGGTGTGTAGTTCTTATCATTTATTTTGTCAGCTATCCCGCTGCACACGCATTAAGGAGTGTGCTGGGCATAGGGCGGGTGGCACTGCTGCCTGCCGGCCAGCCAACCACATGGGCCTTGATGCAGTGGCCAACAGGCAGGCTGCCCCCTAGCCGGCAGGCATTTGAAAAGATGGCTATTTTAATAACAACTGCTCAGCAAGGCACTTTCAGTCCCCTCCCCCCGTCTGGTCCACCAGGTATGACATGGGGGCTGTCCAGCCGTCCTCCGCTCCACCAGCAAATGAGAATGGGGAGCTTCCCTTTTAAGGAACAAGTCATTTAGCCAACACTGCTTGTCAAAGGTCGGCTACTTTTAACCTTGACAAAAAAGCGTTGCTGGCGTGTGGTTGAGGCATCAGCCAGGCCGTTGACAGGCAGGAGGTGTCGAGTTGAGATCTGGCAGTGAGGTGTGGGTCTGTAAAATTAGATGGCTCTTGGGTGAGTGCCCTAAGCCCAGCAGGACACAAATGACTTCCCAGTGTAGCAGGGCTCAGAGGAACCCTTGGGAGGTAGGACCCCTAGACGATGAGAGAAAGAATCCGCTCCCCCACAAAGAGAGGTTCCTCCAAATTCCTCCTCAAAGCAACTCTCTGTGGTGGTGGCAGGGACGAGCCCTGAGTTTCGAAGGGCTGTGACGGCGAAGAACTAGGAAAAGATCCCGTCCCTAAAGAGAGGGAAAAGCCAAGCAGCTGTTCCTAGGAAAGCATCAGGAACTTGCAGCTCCCAGCTGTGCCCAGTGCCTGGGCAGGACCGGGTGTCCTCACAGAGCCTTTGGGGTGTTGAGGGGGGCCAAGCCAGGCAGCTGCGGACTCAGGAGAGGCTCGTGTTCTGGATGGGAGAAAGGGGCAGACAGCACCATGGGGCCAGCCGGCCCAGGCTGGGGAAGCCATGGACTCAGATGAGTGTGAAGAGAGGGGGAGGCCGGGTGAGTGCCCGTGTCTGAGGGCGGCTCCAGGGGCCCAGGTCAGAGGCAAAGGGAGAGAAAATGTGATGGGGTTGGTGGAGGGGAGAAACCACAATGTGGCCTGGGGTCTCCAAGCCAAAGCTTGAGGTCCCCCCGAGCAGTGAGTGGAGGATTGTAGGTAAGGGATTGTAGGTAAGAGTCGTCCCTGTGTGCTGGGCTGAGAACCCCATGGAGGGGGCAGAGGGTAAGACGGAGCCACAGGAGCCTGGAGGTCAGGAAGAGGGGGATGGGTCCACTATGGGCAGGGAGTTTGCACTCCGGGACAGGAGGAGGTGGTGGCCTCAGCACAATATGGGTCTCCCTGAGAGACGGGCCCCCTGAGCTCCAAGACTGGCTCTGGGCCTCATGCGCCCCCGCCACACTGCCCGACTTCTGTCTAAAGGAAAGAAACAGGGCCCAGAGCGATAGTACAGTGGGGAGACGATTTGCCTTATATGCCGCTGATCCAGGTTCGATCCCCGGCATCCCATATGGGCCCCTCACCACCGCTAGCGGGTGACTTCTGAGTGCAGAGCCAGGAGTCGTCCCTGAGAATCGCATGGTGTGGCCCCCAAAGGAAAAACAAACAGTCCATGTGTGTGTATGGGGGGGGGGGCTCCCAGCCTGTAGGCTACCCAGACTCGGTGACAGGCTCCCAAATGCGGATTAGTGCCTGAGAAGGACCAGGTCCTGGTAAGGTCAAGTGGCTTGAAGCCTTATTTCTTCCCTCTTCCCAACTTCCTAAGGTTGTGGGGGGCCCCTTCCCTTCACTGCCCTCTAACAAGCTCAGGCCCCGCAGGGCAGACGCTCTCGGGCAGATCCCGAGCCAGCAGGCGCGGCCAGGCTGAGTCAACTAAGTTCAAAACATCATGTTGGCAGAGCCCCGGCACCCGCTCATTTCAATGCAACCCTCTGAATGACACGTTCTGGAAATGCAGTGTCGAGAGCAGCACTGTCATTCTTGAAAGTTCTCGAGGGCCCTTAATATTCGGATTTGGCATCCACTAAGCCTGAACGATTTGCTGCGCTCATCCTCCCAGCTGCCAAACAGGACTCTGGAGAGACGGCGGCCAGACAGTCCTGTCCTTTTTGGGTTCACACCAAGGACCAAAGCTTCTGAGAACACATGTTCTGTCCGGGGACGGAGGTCAAACAGGCAGCAAAGGTCCAGTTAATGCCACTGGGCCTTTTATTCTCTAGTTTTTGCCAAGGGAGAGGACAGTATGAGGTGACAGCCTGGTGGGAAGTTGGGGAGAAAATTCAGACGGAGAAGGAGCTTTACACATCAGTGAATCACCTGTGTCCCAGGACAACCCAGCAGCTCCTGGACATGTGTTCCATTCGTGCACTTGGTGACTAGAAATCCTGCAGCTGCCGTTTCCCTCTCTGACTTGGCAGCTGGAAGCTTCCAGTCAAACGTGAGCGTATCTTGAGGGACTAGACAGAAGCCTTCTGGACATTTTAGTGCTCATCTAATCTTGGGCTTTATTATTTGCCTACCCTTAATTTCCTTATATTGTCTCTTTCAAGTATTTAATCTGGAGGAGAGAGTCCCTCAAGCAGTGCGCAGCGGCCCAAGGTCAGTCCCAGAGATACCCTGCCCGACTGTATAGGCTGGGGGTTCAATGCGCAGCCTGGCAGTGCAGTTCTGCTTGGGCCCAGTGGGGCTGCCTGTCGCCAGAGCTACTAGCAGTGCTTGGGGGATCATGCAGAGCTGGGGGAATCAACCTGAGGCCTCAGTATGTCAGACATGCACTGCAGCCCTCTGTGCTATCTCCCCAAGCCCAACTATTAGATTCTGCACATGCAGTTTTGAAAGTTACCTCCAATCCTCTGTGGAATGGTGCAGGGCAAAAAGAAGTAATGTTTAAAAACCAACTGTGTATCAATAGTGTTTAGAACAATCCTACGCTTTAAACCAGTTCTGAGGATTGATGCTGGAGATATCACATTTCACCGCAAAATTGTTGCAGCCTGTTTTTCCCCAATACTATTAGCACATTAAAAAATAGCTTCACATAATCTTCCCTTCTCCCCCCCCCAAAACCTACAGTATAAAATATAAGTTTATTATGTGGTGAAATAGGATAGCCTGAAACACCATACTGAGTGTGATGCATCAATGGGTGTAACACAGTAACCTGTAACACAGAAGAACGTAACTGGATGCTTTCATGAGCAAGGTAACAGTAGGATACTTGATGGTTTTTTATGAACTTATCAAAATAATTATAACTGATCTATTACCTTAAAGACAAATATTTAGGTTACAGTGCCAAGGGACAAAGGCAGAAGAAATTACACACTGCAACACAAACGCACACATACACTTCAGGTATGTTAGGAACAGAAATTTTAGAAAATCTGAAAGAATATTTACAGTGGTCCTTTCTAGATAGTCTGCTGGGTGATTTCCAGCACTCATCTTTGCTAGAACATAGTAGGAACTCAAAAACCACTTGTGTAATGAATGAATATCTATCCTTTTCTGAAATGGAAATACATTTATCTATTGGTATGATAAGTGCCATTTTCCCAAAACACATAATTGGATGGTATTCAGTATGATCACACATATATACAACCAATGAAATCCAAACCAAATTATGTACATAGGGAAATAGAAAAGAAAGGGCTTAAGAGGTTAATTAATAGTAGCTGTCTCAAGGATAAGAAAAAGGAGGGGCTGAAGCATTAGTACAGTGGGTAGGCCATTTGCCTTGCACGTGGCCAACCTGGGTTTGAACCCTGGCATCCCCTATGGTCCCCTGAACACTGACAGGAGTAATTCCTGAGTGCTGAGCCAGAAGTCACCCCTTAGCAATGCCAGATGTGATCCCCCAAAAGTCAAAAAAGCAAACAAACAAGTAAGGCAAAAGGAAACTTGTCTTTCCTTTCTTAAAATTAAATTTTTGCAAAGGTTCATTTTTAATTTGTTTTTTTTTCTGGGAGGGGAACACCCAGAGACACCAGTGCTCAGGGGACCATAGGGAGTGCTGGGGACTGGGCCAGGGTCAGCTGCAGGCAATGCAAGTGCCCTATTTGCTGTATTCACTCTCTGGCCCCACAAAGGCTCACTTTTAATAATAGGGAATCTTGGCTTTTTCCTCTCTGGAGAAGTTTCTGTTCTCTCGAGTGTCTCTTACTCCCTCTTGTCCTAAGTAAATTTCTTTAAACAAAACTTTCTTCAGGGGGCCAGAGCAATAGCACAGCGGGTAAGGCATTTGCCTTTCATGCGACTGACCTGGGTTCAATTCCCAGTACTCCATATCGTCCCCTGAGCACCGCCAGGGGTAATTCCTGAGTGCAGAGCCAGGAGTAACTCATGTGTGTCGTATGACCCAAAAACCCCCAAAAAAACCCCAAAACCAAAAAAAAAAACCCAAAACCCCTCACCTTTCTTCAAAAAATAACAGGGAGGGGGCTGGAACGATAGTACAGTGAGTAGGGCATTTGCCTTGCACATGGACAACCCAGGTTTGATCCCTAGCATCATATATTGTTCCCCGAGCACTGCCAGGAGTAATTCCTGAGTGCAGAGCCAGGAGTAACCCCTGAGTATTTCTGGGTATGACCCAAAAAGCCAAAAAAAAGTGCGAAAGAGAAAAAAATTTTTTCAAAAAATAACAGGGATTCTTAAAATTCAGGCATTTTTTGTTCTCTTTCCATGTTTTCTTTCCTTTCTCCCCAGCAGTATCAACAAGGTGAACAATGTAGCATAACCTGACCCTTATTCATCAACTCCTTCAAGAAAACGCCAGGTGTATGTTTGAACTCCTAATAAACAGAGAAAACAAACAGACGTATGTTTTCAAAGCAAAATAAACTTTTAGACTGTAACACCAATTAGTGGATATCATAAAGGAAGAGGGGTAAAAGGGGTTCATTGCAGGAATTGGACTTTAAGTGGAGACTTTAATGAAATCAAGGTTAACTTAAATAGGTGCTACAATGGTTGCTGGGAAACAAATGTGGATTTT